GTAAGCGTACACGTCCTAAAACCTCGCCCTCGTTACCCTCATTTTCTCTGCCGACCACCCAAGCACTGCCTGCAACATCATCACTTGCCCCCCAGTCAACCTCCTGGACTGCAGCGAATCCCTTGTCCTCGCTTCAGCAACCTCCACTAAAAAGCCCCAGGGTTTCAACCCCAACATCCATCCCCACATCCGTTTTTCCAGCAGTTACTCACCAGCCTCAGAGAGGCCATCTTAAAAGCACAACACCGTCCAGTGTGCCACAGCTAACAGACGATAGCAAAAAGGCTTACCCTCTTCTTACGCAAGCTTTAACTTCAATCGGATCCATTACCCATTCATCTGCCCCACGCTTTCGGCAAGAACTCTATCTCTCATCAAATAGTGGTGGCGGTACTGGCCTTCTTGGCCAAAGGCCACTTGACCCGTCACCATTGTCGTCAGTTAGCCATTCTCAATTCATGCCCACCAGCCAAGAGATGATGTATGTGAAGCCGGAAGCAAGTGCTGAGCATGATCTACGAAGTTCAATATTTTCTAGTCAATTTGCTTCCTTTATGGACCATGTTAATCGTCCGCTTCACCCACAAGAATTTGCAGAGGCATATTCTCACCCAAAACCACAGTTCCCTAAATGGTTGCACCTTAAAAATCAGTTGCTTTCCTATGATTGAATAATTGGAAGAGAGAGGGGAGAGGGGGAAATTTTAGGTTACTTTTTTCTTTTTCTTTTTCTTTTTTTTCAAATGAACCTCTTTGGGTTTTAGAGCTACCAAAATTCTCAAAAAATTGTTAGTGTAGTGAGTGTGATCTTCACATGCTGACCCACTTCTGTGGCCTTGTGTCAGAGAGAGCTGAGCTTACTAAATATATGTATGTTTTTGTCTATATGTGTATATGTGTAGTATATATATATATATATATATATATATATATATATATATATATATATATATATATATGTATGGCAAGAATTGATAGTTGCACACTCAAGAACTTTCCGTCTAAGTAAGTTATTTTCTCTTTTAATAAGTGTGGCATTCTTGGGATTGAAGTTGTGGCACAAATCAAAGTTGTAGTGCAACTATCAATTCTTACCAAAATGTTAACTTACACTCTGGATTTTTTCGTATGAATGTATATATGTATACAAAGTAAAAATGTTGCCTCCTCATCAAATTTTATCACATTGATTATATATTTTGCAGATGTTGTTTCCAAATCTGGGGGTAGTAATATTCCTACAGTGTCCTTAATCCCTCTCCTATATAATGGTGATTTGTACAATCTTTAAAAGTAAAAAAAAACAATGAAATTAGTCCTTTGGGTATTAATTCTAAAAACTTGGCAATCATTTTTACCTATGCTTCATATATATTGATGTGCTCCTTTACTTAGTAAAATTCTACATATACTACACAGACTTCATGAAATAATACCAATTTCCAATTGTTCCGTTTAAGGTCATTTCTTCTAAATCTTAAATTCTCATTTGTTGACGTTTTTAATTCAAAATAAATTAAATTGTAAAAATCATTATACAAAGGGATGCTGAAAAGTTCTCATTCTGATCCACTTCTACAAATCAATATTTCAGTGATCAAACATTAGAATATTGATTTTGGAAAATGGATTGGGTTAAGTACTCCCTTATAATACATATTTTCAAAATTAATTTTTAATTAAAAATTAAACTAAATTAAAATTTCAATTATAAATTTCAATTTTAAATTAAATCAAAATTTTAATTACAATTGAATAGAGGTTTTAATTTCATATTAAAGTTTTAAATTAAATGAATTGGAAAATGAAGCATCTAAAATCATTGCGATGACGACACAATAGGTTAAGAGAACTAATTAAAAATTAAAATACTTAATCATAGAATTTCCAGGCAGCAAAAAAGTTTAACAAAAATCATTTTCCATCTGATTAGAAACTTCTTAAAAAAAAAATGTCTCATTTCATGGCTGTCCTCAAAATTGAATTTCTGAAACTTTTCTTGCCTTCTGTATTCAATTAACCCTCACCATATCTATAAGATTAACTTTGTTAATCAACTCATACCCTGTTTTGAATAGTGTGGTCTGGCGCTACACAATCACAAACAAAGAACTGTACCAAATAACAGAAATCACATCATTTGAGGACTACCAACAGCAGAAATAACTAAAATGAATAGCACATGTAACTTGAAGAGAAAATAATATCATAATCAAGACGTTAATGTTCCACGCTACTTCATATTATTTAGGAAGGAAACCTCTGCAAATACTGAAAAGATTGATAACTACTACTGAACTTGAGAAGTCTATTTTCCTGAAAAATTGTTTTAAGAGAAAGATTTTATGAATTTCAACTGACAGCAACACTGGCTGCTTGGTCAGTGAATGCCAAATGTTTCCTTATGAGGAAATGGCTAATATTTCCATTACCATTAGGAGGAAGAGTATGAGGGTTTATTCCCATTTTTGGAAACCTCTGTTTTATATAATAAGAGCCAATAAATATTTTGCATCTTGACAAAAGTTAACCTCCAAAACATCTTGCCAACAATAAGGCTTACATATTTGTATTGTCAGTGATTATTGAAACATCATTTTTATGCTCTAAAGAAGAAATGTGTATCATTGATTGTTTACAAAAATAGGTATTTTCCAATATTATTTCATTTGATGTATACCCTAAAAAAAACGAAAAAATTGCTCTGATTACTCTCTTTCTATTCTGGATCATTCGTGTTGTGCATTCCTTCATAGTTAAACGGTAGTAGTAGTAGTGAATTTATCCTCCATTTGGTTCTTGCAGGTTAAATTCAACTAGTATATTATTTGATTGATGGAATACCACAATGTTGTAGCTACGGTTTGGTAGACAGTAGCAATCTGGATTGAAATCTCAAAGAAGGTAGCGAATAACATTTTACCATTTAGTACCTTCTGTTGTATGAGTGCTAGAAATCATAAAAATAATGCTAATAATTAATTCTTATGTAATTCTGATGTTGACAAAATTTGACATTTTCTGTTTTTTCGTTGAAATGGATTTTTTCATTTCTAATGATAAGAGTATATAAGGATTTTTGATGTATTTGGTAGCTCTAAACTGAAAGAGTTTCAAGACATGACTGAAAATAGGAACGATCAAAAAGAAAGACAATATTTATATCAAGTGTTTCCTATTCTTATCTACCTATCTCAGTCTATCTATATGTTCATATCTATACATCTATCTGTCTATCTATTTCACTCTATTCATATCAGTCTATCTATGTCTATTCATACCTATCTCAGTCTATTAATATCTATCTCTCTATAAGCAACATTTCTCCACAATATATCTGTCTATCTCAGTCTATTAATATCTATCTCTCTATAAGCAACATTTCTCCACAATATATCTGTCTATCTCAGTCTATTAATATCTATCTCAGTCTATTAATATCTATCTCAGTCTATTAATATCTATCTCAGTCTATTCATATCTATCTATCTATCTATCTATGTCTATTCATATCAATCAATCAACCTATCTGTCTCAGTCTGGTCGTATCTATTTATTTTTTCTTAGTTTGTAAAATTGATCATCTTGTATCTAAGATTCAAACTTAAGGCATTAATTAAGTTAAACAATTTTGGGTAAATTCTTTAGTTAATCAGTTATATTAGATCCTAATTTTTTTAAACAGGATATGTATTGGCCTTGTGGTAGACAAAGCTAAATTTAATAAATCTCTTATCAACACAGTTAAATCATATGGGTACTAGAACCATTTTTCCTTATCTTATTACTTGAATTTTATTCATCATCATCATCATCATCATCAATTGTTTATGTCATTACTAATACCTCAAGTGCATAGACACATCCAACCATATACAAACACACACATACAAATTATTTTTCTTCCCATACTTGTAGAAAAACATCCAAATATCTTTGAGTAAGTGATAAACACTTGATATAATATCATTTTTAATCCTCAACTTTTCTAAACATTATTTTTCTTGTTTTTAAGCACTGAAAATGAAAGTACTATGATAAAACATATTTGTAAGCAATCAATATTTAATTAAATAAAAGGGGAGTGTAATGAATTTTATTAATATTTCAATGTTTTCTTAAACCATCTTCATCACCAGAAGAAGAATGTTACTGGGAGTGATTTCTGTTACTTTCTTAAAAGTTTGAAATGGAAGATTTAAAAGACAGCATTGGAAAGCAAAACAATGGCTGAAGTGAAAAGAAGCAAGACAAATGCTGTAATGAAAGGAAATAAGTAAAAGGCTGAAATGAATGGAAGACAAAGACAGAAATGAAAAGAAGCAAAACAAAGACAGAAATGAAAGCATGATAAAGAAATTTAAAAAAGCAAGACAAAAACAGAAATGAAAAGAAGACAAAGATAGAAATTAGAAGAAGCAAGAAAAGGGCTGAAATGAAAGGAAGATGTAGATGGAAATTAGAAGAAGCAAGAAAAAGGCTGAAATGAAAGTTAGACAAAGATGGAAATTAGAAGAAGCAAGAAAAAGGCTGAAATGAAAGTTAGACAAAGATGGAAATTAGAAGCAAGAAAAAGCCTGAAATGAAAGGAAGTAAGAAGAAGGCTGAAATGAATGGAAAACAAAGACAAAAACTAAAAGAAGCGAGACAGAAATGAAAAGAAACTAGTAAAGGGCTGAAATAAATGGAAGACAAACATAAAATTAAAAGAAGACAATGACAGAAATGAAAAGGAGTAACACAAAGGCTGAAATGAAGTACATTCAAAACAATAAAATAAACAGCATCTCTCAATTTCCAGAAAAAGATGATAATAATATTTGAAATAAGAACAAGACTAAATATTTAAGGCACAGAATTAGATTGATAACTTAATTAAAATTTAATTTTTTAAGTAAACAATTATTGAATGCAAATAAGTATGTTTTACCCTAATGCTTTCATATTCTTTCATTTAAAATCACCTGACAGCCATGATTTTTGTTTGTCTCTAAATTGGC